AGCAAGAAATCTTTAATTGATATAAATTCAATTCATATAACCGATTTCAAGTTCTTTGACTACATTTATTCAGAAACTATAATATGTCAAATATTTAATTACAATCCAAATTCAGACCTGTATCAAGCTTGAATATTGTGTCCATTTTTGCCCCAACTGTTCAGGGTTGGACCTCTGCGGGTGTATCCAGCTGCTCTCAGCGAATCAGTTTATTTCTTAATTAAGAACTCCTTTTTTCATTCATAAATTACTTTAAACTTGGAAATATAATTTTGCTTGGAGTTATAGTTTCTTAAAAAAGTATTGTCATTGAAAGAGTTGACATGTTGCAATGTACATTTATTCTACATAGTTCTATGGTACCAAATCAAAAGTTTATATAAAAGAAAGAAGTCAAAGGTTTCCCATCATAGTTAAGTTACATACATTTTTTTTGTACCTGAGGTCGTTGAATATAGATCATTATATAAATAAGGAGATGTGTTATGATTGCCAATGAAACAACTACAAATGTATCATTCATACTTAACAGTAACAAACCACATTTGCAGAGTTGAATAAAATACAGTTAATAACATTTACTTATTACTAAAAAGAAAATGCCTAACTATTTTAAACAGTATTTGAATATCAATTATATGGTCATTTTTATAAACTTCCTGTTACAAAACTTTGAATTTTTCGAAAAACTAAGGATTTTCTTATCCAAGGAATAGATTACCTTAGCCGTATTTGGCACAACTTTTTGGAATTTTTGGTCCTCAATGCTCTTCAACTTTGTACTTGTTTGGCTTTATAACTATTTTGATCTGAGCGTCACTGATGAGTCTTATGTAGACGAAACGCGCGTCTGGCGTATTAAATTATAATCCTGGTACCTTTGATAACTAATTTGACTATAAACATAGATAAAAAAGGTACAAACTGGACATAATGCACTAGTTCATAAACAAGTGAGAACAATCACCTTCATATAGTGCTCAGAATATGACATTCATATAACTTGTTCTATATCATTACAGAACTCTAAATCTTAAATACTGAAAGCCACCTCTGATAAGTACACTGTACTATGCAAGATAATGATATAACTGGACTAAAAGTACACACAACCTGTAATTAACTGCCTTTACAGCGCTTTCGCGCTTTGATTTTTCTAGGAGTTACGCCCCTTTGAACTTATTTACTTTAATGTACTACTGCAACCTTTTGTCATAGCAACTCCTCTCAAACCACACAACAGAATTTCATGAAACCTTTTCAGATAATAAGGACATACAACGTAGATGTGCATATTGACAGGAAATTACAATTCAATTTTTTTTCCAGGAGTTACACCCCTTTGAACTTATTTGCCCAATATACTACTGCAACCTTTTGTCATCGCAACTCCTCTCAAACCACACAACAGAATTTCATGAAACCTTTTCAGATAATAAGGACATACTACGTAGATGTGCATATCGACAGGAAATTACGATTCAATTTTTTTTCCAGGAGTTACACCCCTTTGAACTTATTTGCCCAATATACTACTGCAACCTTTTGTCATCGCAACTCCTCTCAAACCACACAACAGAATTTCATGAAACTGTGTAGATAATAAGGACATACTATGTAGATGTGCATATTGACAGGAAATTATGATTCATTTTTTTTTTTTTGATACAATTTTTTTTTCTTACACTTATTTTATTTCTCCAATGACAATGTGGGGACGTGGGGTATGTGAGCGTGCTCACTAAGGTTCTTTAATTTAACTTTAACAATTTAGATGTATTTGACTTATCTGATGAATAAAATGTAATGCATTTTTAAGGATGAAAGATTAGGAATTTAGGAATTGGTCCATTAAAAAAAACCTTCTCAGAGAGTTACAAAAAAATGTATGTTACCAATAAAAAAAATACAAAAAACTTCTTCAGCTCTCAACTCCAGCTTTCTCCATGGTTTTCATGATATATCCAAGACTGCTAAAAGTGGCCCTTAACACCAAAAATCTATAAATCAATCAATTAACTTGATGATTAATCAAGATCAAACACTTAGAATTTATGTTTTTGAAGAGTTTGTCTTGACCTTCACTAGTAGAGCTTAAAGTTAAAGTATTGGAAAAATCATATGCTATAAATTTGGGAAAAAAATTCATATGCTATAATTTGGGAAAACAGTCATATGCTATAAATTTGGGAAAACAAGTCATATGCTATAAATTTGGGGAAAAAAGTCATATGCTATAATTTGGGGAAAAAAAGTCATATGCTATAAAAATGTGGGAAAAAAAGTCATATGCTTATAAATTTGGGAAAAAAAGTCATATGCTATAAATTTTGGAAAAAAAGTCATATGCCATAAATTTGGAATGTAAATGAGTCTCTAAATTGCCTATGATTGACTTTAGAAGGTATTTTTCTTACAAGTCTCAAGGGTAGCAAAATATATTACTTTGGATTCATTATTATCCGTGGGTATACACAACATATTTAACTCTTTCAGCACTATGACCCGGTTTACTGGGAAATCAATTTTACTTCCGTAAACACTATAGCCCGCTATACCGGGTTGCACATGCTACTTTTTTTAATCCGAGATTTTCAGTGGTCGGGAAAACCCCTCTGAAGTAACATACTATCGTCATATACATTCATTCGAGTTTCCCTGGCTTTTTCCGTACTTTTAACAGAAAATCAGGGTTTTCAATAACTTTGCAATGAACAGGCTGTTTACAAATTTGAAGTGGCTGACCAAAAAAGGGGGGGTCAGGGGGGGCAGGGATTTTGTCTTTTTGCTGGTAAAGAAATCATTTACTTTTGGTCTTTCATTTCATTCAGTTTCATTTAATTTATTGACATGCAGTTTAAAAAATTGCCTTCTAAAACTTTTTAATTTGGTTTCTCATGTGTTATCCATTGATAACATACGTTTTTATTTCGATATCTCTCTTGACTTTACCATTGACAATCTTGATCATTCAAGCAACTGATTGAAGATCGTATTTGAATGCAGGCAAATGTCTTATTGATGCCGATTTTAAGTTTACTTTCAGTCAGACAAAATGGTCCAGTCGGTTATAGAAAAGCCATCGTTTTTGAAAAATCTATAAAACTAACAACTCCATGAGACAAAAGGTTAATAAAACTTTTTTATTTTATTCTCTTCAAAAATATTTTTTGTTTAAGCATTTGAACCGGCGATTTCCGTCTTTTGAAACGGCGACATTCCGCCGGGTGCCGGCTCTTAATGAAAACCCTGAAAATAAATTAAATATCGGTCGTTTATTAGCGATGAACATTTTTTGAAATTTTGTACTCAAAATGGCGAATATCGATAGTGAAAACGAACTGTCAGGAGACGAAATTATTGATTATGTCGGCTAATTTGACTTAATAAATGTTAATAAAGCTGACAGAAATGAATTAGAAAGGCAATGGAGAAATATAGTAGGGGACAGTGATGATGAAGATGACTTAAGAGTGGTTTGAAGCCGCGGACATGTTGACAAAAATTCAAACTCAAAGAAACATTCATGAATTTAGGGAACGTGTGGGCCTAGTTAGAAATTTTGACACTTCAGCATCTGCCCTAAACTATTTTCAATGTTTTTCATAAAGAAGTCTTCACTTCTATCGTCAATTTAACTAATTTGAACGCAATCCGAAAATCGTACATGAAAGTTGACACATTTACCTGTGCTCACGAAGTACAAATACTTTGTCAATTGAGACAATATAACATTTATTTTTTTAATTATCATAAACTATTAAATAAATATAAATTCAAACAAAAATAAAAGAGATTTCATAGTTTAAACACCAGTTTATCAAAAATTACCTGATTTACCTGTATTTTTACCTGTATCTCACCTGTATGTCACCATAAGTCTCAATAAGACAAACAGGTACAGCAAGTACAAAGTATGCTGATTATTTTGATACCTCATATGATGGAATTGGATGACTGAGTACAAATATACATCAGTTTAAAAGTACCTACCCTAAGTAAATGAAAATTCTCAAAGTTACTTAGTGTTGAAGGGTATAATACATTGAAAGTTATGCAGTGTTGAAAGAGTTAAGGATGTACTTAGGTGATCTAATGTAAAATTAAATAAATCAAGAATTCAAAATTGATACTTTAAGCTGGAAGAGTATTAGTTAAGGATCAAAATAAGCTAAAAATATTGATAGGTCATGGAGCTCCTTTTCGAGATATTTGATTTATAAAATATGGCGGGAAAAGGCTGACTCGGACTTTTACCTTATATTTGCATTGGTATTATTTGGGTCTCAAATCAAAAGAAAGAAAATCAAGAATCTGCTTAAAGTTTGTCAAATGACCTTTTATGAGCTATTAAGTCTTATGTTAAATGATAAATAGGTGTTATGGGGCAACATATTTTACCTTGTATCGTATGGAAAAACACAAAGGAGTCCGAACATTTGGCACTCATTCCAAAACCTCACCTAAGTACATCCTTAAGTGTCCAATGAAGTAAAAAAAAAATATTGGCTTGAATGCAGACTATGGCAGACTGAATTATCTGTTATTATTTTGAATTTAATTATAATTATAGTTTTAAATTTTGAATTGAAAGTAATAAACTATGGCTTAATGTACATAACAACCATCTGAATTTAATAAATCACAAAAATGATCAAGTGTCTCCCTGAACAGTAGAAGAATATAAGACATGGGATAGAGTAGATTGTCTCCCTTGTATTAACCAATCAAAATCAGGATTTCTCTTGTAGAATGGAATTCAAGGTTATGACATAGTTCTAGACAACCGAGTCATGAGGTTGACCCTCGTAGAATAAGGTAATGATATAGTCCTGCGAGTCTTTTCACAAAAAATCTTACGATTAAAATTGATTGTAAGTTATACTGAAATGTGTATGACTTACAAGTATTTTTACTCTTAAGATTTTTTGTGAAAAGAGCCGCTGGTTAGCATTTTAACGTCGAGTATAATAATCCTTTATTTCAATGGTATATTGTAGGTGGCAGAGATGTACAAAGGCCAACAACAAATACAGAACCAAACGAAGGATGGTGGAGACGAGGAAGATTTCTATTGATTTTGTATATAACAATTTATTTAAAATTAATTTTTATGTAAAATTTTCAACCTAATATATCAATGAACTAGAAACAGTGTTTGTTTTTAAAGCCAGATGTTTCATTTATTGGCAAGGAAATAAAATTTCCCCAGTTTGTTTAGCTCTAAGTTTAGCATTACCCCGTAAAGATAGTTGATCAACAGTGATTAATTAACTAACACCCAGTATGTCCATATGTCTATGTCCCCTGCACCAAGGTCAGTCAGTACTACTTGTACAAGTTATTTTTATTTACTTGAAGAAGCAAATAATAATATACTTATACAAGTAAATTTGTTATATTCATATTTTCATATAAGGTGTGAATAATCTCCCCTTAATTTTCTAAAAAAAATTGTATAAGTAATTTTTTTTTACAATCCCTAAAATTCTCAAGTTTTGGGATGTAAAAACATGCCTTAAACAATTTTTCTCTGGTTAGCTCATAATTTTTTTTATTAGAGTTCAACCTTCATTCTCATTAATTCAACAGAGAACTTAATTGGACAAAGATCTTAAGCAATTGCAATTGGTCACAACATTTTCATGTGAGTAATCGAATTAAATAAAATACTTACATGTTAATGGAGTGCTTGTAGTTTTGAATATATAAATATAAAGAATATAGAAAAAAAGTGGCATAAACAATTCAAGAATATGGACCCCCTCCCTCAACCATCCAGATTATAAACTACTACTTATTGTGGTGGGAGGGTACAGTTCACCCTAAATTGTTTTTTTTTTATATATATATATATATATATTTATATTTAAAAGGTCTTGATTGGATATGATACTTATCTTACATCTCGGGATGACATTAATGAAGACCCAAGTACTTTTCCATATGCTGTAGTTGCAAATATTAAAATAGTCAACAACGATTATTACTATAGATTTTATATTCATTAACTATTAGACCAATTGGTCGTCAGAATAACGGATTCACTGCATCGTCTAACAAACTAAGCACCGTCAAAATCTCTTAAAATCACATATGTTGTGTGAAAATTAATAGGGGCAAGGTGCTTTTTCATATGGTTCAACATTTTACAAATTCAGAAGGATTAAACATATATATATTTGATAGTCATTAACCGAGAAACTAATCGATCGCCTGAATCAAACTGAATCTCTGCAGTGGTCAAAATCTGCTATCTCATATTTTCATGCTACCGCCGTAGGCAAGGGGGACATCAAGTGTTACCCTTGACCGTTCTGCCATCTTTCTGTCCGTCTGTTCCATTTTCATTGACACACTCTAACTTAAGTTTGCCTCATGCAAATTTATGAAACTCGTACACAATGCTAAGAACTACAACATGCAGACAGAGTTTGAATTTGGGTTGTGAGTCATTTACCATTTCAGAGTTGTGTCCCTTTTTAACTTGGAAAATTGCAAAGCTTAAGGGGGGCATTCGTGTCCTCAGACACATTCTTCTTTTATATTTGTAAGTTTTAACTATTGAATTTACAGATTTAAATGTAATTATCATTGAAAGAACAAATGATGACATGGTTTGGTTTTGATCTTATTAATACTTATCGAAAGATAACAAACAGCATACGAAAATATAGTGTAATCTTTGAAGTGATAATGCCATTTCCTTGATGACAAACTTGCTGGTTGCTGTCTGTTTCTAGTTCTCATTTTTTACGCAAAGCAAGGAATGTAATATGTGATTAGACATAACATGAAGTCTGTTTTAGTAGTCTCGGGTTCAGTGGATTTTAATGAGGTAGCTAAGCAGATTAAAAATAAAAGATATGTACAAATAGGCCTAAGTCAGAAATTGTTTCTATCATGTGAGGTTTGTCACGTATGCACCTTTTTTCCAATTATACTAGTCAAGCAAGCCGAACTGTGTTGCCAATAGACTCTACTTTTTCGACATATCAAATAGTGAATAGTTTATTGTGTTAGTTTGCTGGCTCGATGACTTTATAACTCAATATCTTCTTATTAGGGCCCAGCTGAATGGCGAACGCCCTTTAGTGATCAGTCTGTCCGTCGTACCGTCCGTCCGTCCGTAACAAATTGTGTCCGCTCTATATCTAGAGAACCGTTATGATTTCAAAGTTTTTGTGTATATTAACCAACACCAGAGGGTGTGTCATAATGTATGTACAACTTCCTAGGTCAAAGGTCAAGGTCAAAAACTTTTGGTTTTAGTTGACAACCCCATGTCCTATGGTAAAGATCGTGTCCGCTCTATATCTTGAGAACCGTTATGATTTCAAAGTTTATACTTGACATGTATATAAACCAACACCAGAGGGTGTGTCATAATTTATGTACAACTTCCTAGGTCAAGGTCATAAACTTGGTTTCAGTTGACAACCCCATGTCCAATGATAAAGATACAAATTTTTTACCACACATTATTCACAGCGGGGCCCACAGAGATGGCTCCCATCTCAATGATATCTAGTTTATATCTATCAATTTGGGTTATTATATATCAAGACATTATGAATAGAGAAAAACTCAAAAACTTTAGATATATTAAAAAAACCAATACCAATGTATGATACTGGTAACATACATGTACATGAAAAATAAATCGTGGTTAAACATTTTTGTTATTAATCAGGATAACATACCCATGAAAAGATTTAGTGTTCGCAAAACCCAATGTCCTCCAATCGTGAAATCAAGTATAAATTAGAATAACATAAGGTTTGACCTCTCCCGTAACACAAATCTCATGTAACCGTGCATTACAACCCCTTTGTAGTGGGCCCTGACAAGATTAAGCTGAGCGAAACAAAATAGGGTTCTGTGAATGACCTCTTCACCTCTTCACCTAGAAGAACTTAGACAGACGACTGAAACAATTGTTAATATAAACATTGTATAAAACACACGAATTTCACAAATTGATTGATACAATTCAACAGAATTGCAAAATTTACAAAAAGAGCATCCACTCCATTTGAACTTTGGTAGATAGTTGTCACATTGGCAATCATACCACATCTCCTTTTTATACGGTCTTACTTTAAAACTAAGAACTATACTAAGAAATAATCAATATACATATAAGACTGTTAAGAATAAGAAAGGTCCAATCTGTGAATTTTTAAGGAAAAGGAACACACGCATACTATAAACACAAGTATAAATTTATGATCAATTTGACAGTCAACTAGGAAGACATATTCGGAAAAGGAGGGGTGTCTGTTTAACTGTGTTACATAGAGGCACATTCGATGCATTTGTTGGATACATAACCAAGTGCCGTTCAAACATTGCCTAGCACATTTCTCTTTTATCAGTCGCTTTTTGACCCACTGTGACCACAGAACATTAGACATTAATTTACACTTAATATCGCTCTAGATGTGTGGATGAGAATAAAAAAAACTTGTAAGTTACTCTAAAATTCTACAGGGAGATGGAATTCTGTATGAAATATTTGCAAGGCACAGGGACAGTCTATAGGTTAGTATAGACTGTCCCTGCAAGGCATCATAATTCAGTCAACCGAGTTAGCAGTACGTCAGTACTTGGATTGAAACAATTAATCGATACAATGTATGCATAGCTGACATATTTCTTATCTATTCATACACAACACATGTTCATATCCGATACACGCTTCGTTGGTTTTATTTTCATCAACCGCTGAATGTAAGACCTGGAAAAATATCAGAGTATAAATACAAAATAAGAAATGTAGAAAACATGAGGACAAGTGGTATACATGTTACTAGGGATCAAAAGACTATTATAGGTGCTATAGAAGAAGGATCAGCATTTAGTTGAAGAGGACTAACGAAAGTGATAGTCAAGGATGAGGAAGGGAATCGTGTGAAGGAATATGAACTAGATAGTAACAACAAAAAGTTATTTACAATTCCTCGTAGAATAACCAGTACCAGTAATGGTAACATCTGCGTGGTAGATACGTTAGTAGATATAAGAAGATGTGGTATGAGTGCCAATGAGACAACTCTCCATCCAAGTAAAAATTTATAAAATAAACCATTATAGGTCACATTACGGTCTTCAACCGTAGATATATTTAACAGAGGTAGAGTGGTAGTGTTGGGACAAGCAGGAAACATTGTACAAATATATGCTGGTCATCCTGATATCAACAATCAGAACAGACCATTTAAACCTCTAGACTTGCTGACAACACCAGCAGATAATATTGTTGTGACTGACTGTAACAATCATACACTGCATATACTGTGATGGAGTATTCATAACATACATCAGAACTAATGATGTAGGGATTAGGGGCCATGGTCTATTGCGTTGTCTACACCTGGCCATTTCTATATAGGTTATGTTGCTTCAAAAGTAAGTCCTGACAAAGCTAAACTGTCTGGAGTGGCGTACTCTGGATTTTTAGGACTAAGAATTTACTTATTTTGAACTTCAGAATTTAACGCATACACTTTGAAATAGAACTATACGACTTGACCGTTGTTTTAGTAAGGCATTGCACAAAAATGACTATTGCATGCAAATTAGTACAAAGAATATGTTTAAGGATTTACTTTGTATTGAATTTTGGAATCTAGTGCATATGCTATGGAATGGAACTATATGACTTGACCATTGTAGTATGAAAGTAGTTGTTCACGTTATTGAATTTTTGTATTTGAAATAATGGTAACTTATGTCTGAAACTTAGTGCATGGAGCTATATTGATTGAAATGTTATAAAACTATTGTTGTAATGTGTACACTTATCATTCTTATAACTAAATAACGCTCAGTGTAAAATATCGACAAATATAATGCCCACCCATGTTAAAATGACCACAAAGCATGACATGAAGGAATTAATTCTGAACACGAGTGACTGAACCAATGACTCATAATAATACTTATATTTAATCCTGTTAGACTGTAGTGATTGAACATTTCTATACTTTGTGTATTCAAAACAATCAAAGAAAAAACAAAATGAAAAATGTCTTCATTTGTTTTAATATAAATGAAAAACATATGTTAGTTAGATAAGTAGTATAATTTCCACCCCACCTTCCTCCCCAAAAAGATCGGAATCGTGTAAGATATGTTTTTTTACTTAAGTTATGAATCTTTTGAACATAAAAATTCAAACTTAATTGATTACTGATATGAAGGACCTGTTTTTATAAGAAAAATAAATATTTTTTGAAGTGGCATCGGTGGCTGAGTGGTCTTGGTAGCTCATCTACAGCATATACTAGCCTGTCAACACGGAGGTTGTGAGTTCAAACCGAATCCGGGTCCGTTCGCGCCCATTCACGTTCGCCCCCTTTCACGTTCGCACCCCGGGTCCGTTCGCACCCTTTTTATTGATTTTGTCTTAAATAATTTTTCAATCGTATTTTGGTTAGTGTATTGCTATAAATATTTTTTTTGTTCATTGTTTTAAAATGAAGTGACTTTCTAAAAACGATTTTTGTGTTGAATAATTTTTTAATCGTGTTTTGGTTATTGTATTGATATAAATAAGTTTTTTTTCATTGTTTCAAAACATGCCAAATAAAGTGACGTTTTTTGTGTTGAATATCTTTTTAATCGTGTTTTGGTAAGTGTATTGCTATATATTTTTTTTTTCATTGTTTCAAAATAAAGTGACTTTCTAAAAAGGTTTTTTGTGTTGAATATTATTTTAATGTTAAGATACCAAACCGCTTTAAACTCAACAACAATAACATTTTGAATCTTAATTGTTTTTACTCATACCAAGTTAAATACATGCTAATATAACTACATGCAGAATTTACATCAAGTTTAGCTGTGTAAACACCATACATAATTAACAGTAATCGTACATAATTAACATATAATAATTAATCATCAAATAAATTTAAAACAATATTTCATTTAAAAAATTTAAAAATTGCCGAATTTTTCTTTATTTTGAGATAAACATCTTAAAAAACATCTTATAATTCATCGGGTTTTTGAATAAAAAAAAAAGGTGCGAACGGACCCAGGGGGCGAACGTGTGGGGTGCGAACGTGTAGGGTGCGAACGTGTATTGGGCGCGAACGGACCCGATACCGTTCAAACCTCGCTCATGGCAGGTGCTTTCGATCCCGATCTCATAATTGAGTAGGATTGTCAATTTTCCTACCGGAGGTTGGAGGTTCTCTCTGTGCGCTATGGATTCCTCCACCAATACAAATTGACCATAATGACATGAAACACTTATAATCAATCAATTATATTTTGAGAGAAAAAGGTATAGATTCAAGACAAATTGCTTATCAGTGTGAAGTTTTGAAAAATTGATAGTTTCAGTCTCGATGAAGTTTAAACTCTTAGAGCTTCGACAACAATTTTACATAGACGAAATGTACAGTTTTTTAAAGAAAGAGACCAAAGATACCAAAGGAACTTTCAAACTCATAAGTCGAAAATAAACTGACAGCGCCATTGCTAAAAACGAAAAAGACAAGCAAACAAACAACAGTGAATCTTTCAAACTTTCATTTAAACGCTTACAAAAGCATTTTCCGTCAAAAGTATTTATTTTTAGCATAAGTGTTCTAAAATTTCGACATATAAAAAAATGACTCATACTAGTATATGTCCAAGAGACAACAGCCAGCAAACAAGGATATGATCATCAACATCGAGTACACTAGGAACGTTATATAGTTCACGAGACAACAGCCAGCAAACACGGATATGACCATCAATATGAAGTACACTAGGAACGTTATATATAGTTCACGAGACAACAGCCAGCAAACAAGGATATGATCACCAACATCGAGTACACTAGGAACGTTATATAGTTCACGAGAAAACAGCCAGCAAACAAGGAAATGAACATCAATATCGAGTACACTAGGAACATTATATAGTTCACGAGACAACAGTCAAGAAACAAGGATATGCTCATCAACATCGAGTACACTAGGAACGTTATATAGTTCACATTGTATAGCTAGCTTTAAATGGCCCAAAATAAAAAAGACTAAGAATCAACAAGTTAGACCGAAAAAAATGCCGAAAAATTTAGGTGTTGCAGAATTTTAATCCGCCTCTGTCTCAGACTTAGTTGTGCATATAATAGACCCATACGGAGATCCAGAATAGGAGGCTAGGAATATGTCTGCCGAGTAGAGATTGAAAAATCGAGATAACGTTTTAATCTTATTTTTATATGCGTCCCCTTTTAGCTTCCGTCCTTAAATGATTTACACTTAATTGTTATAACAAAACTACTCTGTAGACTTTTCGTCAACATAGCCATGCTTACCATTAAATCTATAACAGATATGCTCGTATGTATACACAGACCTTTGCTTATTTCTTCATTTTGAGTTGTCAGCAAGTAACGGTTTTATTTAATTAAGAATTTTCAAAATAAAATTGTATACAGCTTCAGTCAGGAGCCTGTTGTTCAGTGGTTGTCGTTTGTTGGTGTGGTTCATAGGTGTTTCTCGTTTCTCGTTTTTAATATAGATTAGACCGTTGATTTTCCTGTTTGAATTGTCTTACACTAGTAATTTTTGGGCCTTTTATAGCTTACTGTTCGGTGTGAACCAAGGTTCCGTGTTGAAGGCCGTACTTTGACCTATAATTGTTAACTTTTTATACATTGTGACTTGGATGGAGAGTTGTCTCATTGGCGCTCATACCACATCTAGTTATTTATATCATATGGAAATACAAATCCAACATGTCCAATATATTTAGTTAGTGTATCTGAAGTGCTTTTTTCAATTTTCCTCCATAAGGAACGCTCTAAGACCAAAATTTGAAAAAAAGGAAAAAAAAAACATACTTCAGGGGCGACATGACTAAGAGAAACCTAGTAATGAGTCAAAACCATTCAATATCAAATTTGCCATATGGAGTTGGAACCAAGGTTTCTTTGGAATTTCTTTGTTTATAAATTTAATCAAAATACTGATCCTGTGTCCCGAGCTTCTGTGACAAGGATCTGACAACACTCCGTTCTATTTTTTGTTCTGGTACTTTTTTACATCAGCCAATGAAATTCCTACCTACAATTTTTTGGTGGTATGTATCTGCAAAACAAGAGAATTCCAAAAGGTACTTAAACAGAAATCCTTACGGATGATTGTCGGATCCTTGAAAACGAAGCGTCGAAGTCAAAGCTAACTATAAACCAAAAGATAGAGAATACTCTAAAAATTAATTGAGTGCAAATTGACAACAAAACTATTAAATCAAATGATTTTTATTTACGTTTTAGACTGCTGTATTTGTTATTTGCCATGTGTTCTTATATGACGAAATAACGGATGTCTGTAATTGATCTTGCTGCAATGTTCAGATGTAGTTGAATGTTCAGGAGTAGTTGTTGTTGTTTCAGAGGTAGTTGTTGTCGTGGTTTCTGTCGTTTGACCTGGACATCCCGAACCCTTCGGGATGATGTCATTCGAAGTACATACTGTACCAGGTGGAGAACACATTGATGGTATATTACAGTCAAGAGACTGACTGGGGGGTACTGAAAACATATTTTAGATATCAAAAATTTCTGTAATATTATTGTATAGAATCCAATGTCTTTTTCTTTATTGTGTTTTTTTTTTCTCTTGCATAAATCAATAGTATTAAAATAATAATAATAATGATTATTATACTAATAAGTGTAATAGAATCAATGGTGGTGGTTATGGTGATAATAAGAATTTAAAAAAAACCATAAAAGCTTTCAAAGAAAACACAATTAAAATAAATATTATTTTTAATTAATGAAATCATTGAAGGAAACAGGTATGAATACTTAAATGATTTTGCAAGACAGTACAGAATCATATATATATCATATCTGAAGTTAGAAAATCCGGTTGAGGGTAAATATGTTAGAGGTTTATTTGAACTGAATCTTCAATTGTGTTTTCTATTGAATATTTCTGTGCATGATAACAATTCTTTTTTTAATTTTAATCGTTATATTTTGTGATTGTTATCGACAGTGGCCTGGGCAGACACTTGTTGGAATAAACCACCTCCTTCGTGTTGAAAACAATAGAGCTTTCCTCCACACTGTCAGTTAAGTCAAGCTAGCGAATACACAGGTGGTGAGTTCATTTTGTAAAAATATTTATGTTGGTCTGAATTTAAATTAAAACATTTATGCACATACTTACCAGGCGATCCTGCTACTGTAAAGAAAACAGTTAAGATTATACAAAGGTACCAGGATTTATCATTCAGCCAAACAGACATGACGTATCGTCTGCATTAGACTTATTATTTGGCTCAAATAATTACTTCCTTACGACCTAACCAATGCAGTAGTGCATTGAAAATGAAATCTTTTTTGAATCTTTTTGATGTTTTTAGTCTTGTTTCTCTGAGAGCCATATACGCAACAATTAAGGAAACGCACCGCCTCCATTAATTGCTTTGATTAATTACAAAATTAAAGAACATTGCAATCCAGACATTTATAAAAAATGTGCCAAAACATGCTATGGTCATCTATGTCTGGGGTGGTTAATATTAGTGTGTCGAATAATTTTAACATTTTGATGACGACTAAATTTACAGAAATTAACACCAAATCAATGATTTGAATAATGTTGTATCAAATAAGAAATATTACTGCCATATCTTCAGATTATGCTGAACTGAAAGTACACACAAACAGATATGTTTAAATTCGAAGTCCTTTTGGATGTGCATGTTTAAGCTCTAAAGAAGTCTTCAAGATGTTATGTAGGAATCTACCCTATTAGATTGTTTCTTCACCAAAAAGTGAGAAGTTACAGATAAAAAAAAAACGAAGAGCGTCATGATTTATCAGGCAGTTTTATGGAAAACATAAATACGACGATAAAGCCATACACTCCCCAATAACACAATTCCTTTTTATACCGTTAATTTGAGATTCAGGGGCATTGGAAAGTTTTATTTAAAAAAAAAATAGACTTTTTTGTACATGTATTATGTGTTTTCTGTGTATGCTATATGGTATGTTAAAACACGAACAGTTACAGTTTCAAGACAGACAATGTTTTAATGCTGCCCTTACCTACAGCTACCGCTTCTGCATTTGGTTCTTTGCACATTTCACATATATTTGTAAACTCTCCTGTCTGGTTGACAAATGTTGTGGTGGAAGAATCTAAAAGATATGGTAGAAGAGTTTTGTTAAGTGCACTATGCATTTATATCATCTTCAAAGTTTTATATGCAAAAAAAAAAATAAATAAATAAAAAATAAAAAAAAACATTAAAAAAATCATTAAAAAGTCCAACATTATAACTGGTTTTGGGTAGAAATCCGGTAATATTTAAACTAATATGAATAGTAAAATTATAAAACTGCAGCTTATGCAATGTCAGAACCAGAGTGTTGACTTCTTAGGTGTTGATCACCACGGGTTCATAACATCCACTTGCAGAAGCAGCAACCCATTGATAAATGTAAAACCAGGAAAAGCGATTGGAAAGGCAAAGCGTTATACATTTATTATTTTTAGTATAGTTCTTTTTTGCCTATTCTGTATCATTAGGCACTACGCGCTCGATTGTGCATGATGCCCAGCTTGAACTGTAATTTAGCCGATTTTGTTCTATTCTTAATCTTAAATTTGTATAAGAAATCAAAACGGACAAATAGACTGATATTGCTACAAGGAACCTAGTCGGTATGGTATTATAAGATAGTCAGATCCAATGGCATTGAACGATTATAGCCCTATTCACCAACAAAAGAGAACCGGAATGAGTCATGCAAATCCAGTATTTGCTATACCAATTAAAAGTATAAATTATTCTATGATCAAATAATGGTTTGAACGTTTTCGTAGCATCGGATCTTTCACGATCCTTTTCACGATCTTCAAAAAGCGGTACGCGATCTTCAAAAAGCGGTACGCGATCTTTCACGATCCGAAAAATCAATTTTTTATAAATATTCATTTTTTGCAAAATTTCTGATTATGCTAACACAAAGTAACTTTAAGAACCATTTGAATCATTAAGATGAAATAACATTTTACAAAGAAAAGGTGTTTAGTCATTCGAGTTATGAAAAAAAATCTTGTTTGTTTACGTATATTTAATGTCATTGAAATGTCGAGGAGCAATCTGCCTTTTGTAGTTTTGTAAAAATTGTGTACTTTTAAACTTTGATTTTTCTCAGATACTGATCATAATGTTGAACCATTTTGACAGACAGTTTTGTTTTTTTGTAAATTTGTCCGTATAATTCATTAAATTAGAAAAGTTATTGACCTTGCATATATCTTCTCGATAAAATTTCCTTCACGATCCTATACCAGAGCTTTCCCGATCCAATCACAATACTTGACTAGTATTCTTTCACGATCATTTTTCTCGATATACCGAATGACACCCGTGGAATAGTGCTGCTGATTACTAGTATATCTAATTGATCCGGTGCAATACTTCATTACATGTACTCCTTTGATTTACTGTGATATTTTGGTAACCACTGTTTATCCCTTAAACACCATCACATGCATGTACCTAAACCAAATAATGACCTTGACAGTTGTATGTTCTTTTGACTTTTTATTTAATTATTTGGAGAATTTGATGTTGATGGCAGGTTTTTGACCTGTTACATATTTTAACCTTAAGACTCGGGTTGATTCATGTCTTTTGTTGAAGAATGAATGTTGACCTCTAAATGTCATTTCTATAGTTGGGCTGCCCTCTCATTGAAGTATACCCCTCATCATTTCATTATTGCATAGTAAAAATATAAAAGCTTGAACGATGTTTACAAGTAAACGATAAATAACCAAGATAAAGTAATGAGCTAAGTAGGTTCATTATCACTGAACTAGTATACATATTTGTTTAGGGGCCAGCTGAAGGACGCCTCCGGGTGCGGGAGTTTCTCGCTGCATTGAAGACCCATTGGTGGCCTTCGGCTGTTGTCTGCTCTATGGTCGGGTTGTTGTCTCTTTGACACATTCCCCATTTCCATTCTCAATTTTATTAATCACAGAAATAAACCTTTTCTAAGTGAATAAACTCATCATAGATGACAGGATTAAAATTTATACGTCAGACGCGCGTTTCGTCTTAAACAGATTATCAGTTACGCTCGAATCAAAAAAGGGGGAAAAGGCCAATTAAAGCACGAAGTTGAAGAGCATTGAAAACAAAACGTCCGAAAGGTTTTGCGAGAAACAGCTAAGCTAATCTGTGTTTCTGTAACTAACAGACATATTACTGGAATTGTTGTTTTAATATTTTTGTTGGTATCATGAACAAAATAAGAAATACTGTTATAAATGAGCAAAATGCTTACATAAGAAATGCCAAAAACATTCTGATATATTTTGACTTCAACATAAACAACAACAAATACATGATATATACGTACCAGAAAATGCAACCGTAAACGTCACAGGAGTTGTAAGATCATTGTAAAAGATCAGGAAACACAAAAATTTGTCAGTACCCTGTACCCTGAAAAAATTATTCATAGAATGGTGTTTCCCTCTTCAAAATCATTTATACACAAAAATCATTTGCTATCAAGATTTTAGATTTAAGCGTTTTTAATGAAACAGAACCTAAATCAAATGTAATTTAATACATCATGGCATACTTCAAAACATATCAAGAACTAACAGACTAAATGAAAACAATAAAAACACAGACCGTCAACTGACATTTAAAAGTATAACACGGCAGTTAATATAATAATCTTTATTGTCATATAAACAAATGAACATGTTTGTGACAAAAACATACATATATATATATATATATATATCAATGCAATAAAATTGAACATGAATTATTAATCATTAATGCAGTCAAGAAATATATATGTTTTTATCCAACGCAATCATAGGTTTGAACGTTGTTTTCAATTTAGACTTGTTTATATTTTTTCGTTTGGGCTTGTATTATATTTGCCTTCGGGTTTATATGATCCGTTCACCTTTTTTTGACTCCTCAAAATTCAAGAGTCTATCCTAAATTGAGGTTAATTGTATGCCTTTCCAAATACCGTTTCGATTCCTAACATCATTTAAGAGACATTAATTGTCGAAATCCGGATATGGTGTACAAAAACCTTTGCACCTTTTGTTTGCGGTATACCATCTTTTCCGCAAGTTTATTGTTTTCTGTTTAATATCAAATTTATAATTAAGATCCATTTGTTACATCGGTGATCCGTTTATTTGGCAATCGCCAATGGCAGTCAGCAGGGTTTAAGGACATTTGTTGTTCGACCTGTTAGTCAAATGCGTTTTGTTAAAATATACTTTTTCACTTTTTTGGTCTTTTGAAAAATGTTGTTTGTGCTGTATTTAGACCCCTCTAACAAGAAATTTGTTTTGCATGCACACGTATGAAAATTGCGGTTTTTATCCAACGCAATCATAGGTTTGAACGTTGTTTTCAATTTAGACTTGTTTATATCTTTTCGTTTGGGCTTGTATTATATTTGCCTTCGGGTTTATATGATCCGTTCATCCTATTTTAACTCCTCAAAATTCAAGAGTCTATCCTAAATTGAGGTTAATTGTATGGCTTTCCAAATACCGTTTCGATTCCTAACATCACTGAAGAGACATTAATTGTCGAAATCCGGATATGGTGTACAAAAACCTTTGCACCTTTTGTTTGCGGTATACCATCTTTTCCGCAAGTTTATTGTTTTCTGTTTAATATTAAATTTATAATTAAGATCCATTTGTTACATCGGTGATCCGTTTATTTGGCAATCGCCAATGGCAGTCAGCAGGGTTTAAGGACATTTGTTGTTCGACCTGTTAGTCAAATGCGTTTTGTTGAAATATACTTTTTCACTTTTTTGGTCTTTTGAAAAATGTTGTTTGTGCTGTATTTAGACCCCTCTAACAAGAAATTTGTTTTGCATGCACACGTATGAAAATTGCGGTTTTTATCCAACGCAATCATAGGTTTGAACGTTGTTTTCAATTTGGACTCGTTTATATTTTTTCGTTTGGGCTTGTATTATATTTGCCTTCGGGTTTATATGATCCGTTCATCCTATTTTGACTCCTCAAAATTCAAGAGTCTATCCTAAGTTGAGGTTTATTGTATGGCTTTCCAAATACCGTTTCGATTCCTAACATCACTGAAGAGACATTAATTGTCGAAATCCGGATATGGTGTACAAAAACCTTTGCACCTTTTGTTTGCGGTATACCATCTTTTCCGCAAGTTTATTGTTTTCTGTTTAATATTAAATTTATAATTAAGATCCATTTGTTACATCGGTGATCCGTTTATTTGGCAATCGCCAATGGCAGTCAGCAGGGTTTAAGGACATTTGTTGTTCGACCTGTTAGTCAAATGCGTTTTGTTGAAATATACTTTTTCACTTTTTTGGTCTTTTGAAAAATGTTGTTTGTGCTGTATTTAGACCCCTCTAACAAGAAATTTGTTTTGCATGCACACGTATGAAAATTGCGGTTTTTATCCAACACAATCATAGGTTTGAACGTTGTTTTCAATTTAGACTTGTTTATATTTTTTCGTTTGGGCTTGTATTATATTTGCCTTCGGGTTTATATGATCCGTTCATCCTATTTTGACTCCTCAAAATTCAAGAGTCTATCCTAAGTTGAGGTTTATTGTATGGCTTTCCAAATACCGTTTCGATTCCTAACATCACTGAAGAGACATTAATTGTCGAAATCCGGATATGGTGTACAAAAACCTTTGCACCTTTTGTTTGCGGTATACCATCTTTTCCGCAAGTTTATTGTTTTCTGTTTAATATTAAATTTATGATTAAGATCCATTTGTTACATCGGTGATCCGTTTATTTGGCAATCGCCAATGGCAGTCAGCAGGGTTTAAGGACATTTGTTGTTCGACCTGTTAGTCAAATGCGTTTTGTTAAAATAAACTTTTTCACTTTTTTGGTCTTTTGAAAAATGTTGTTTGTGTTGTATTTACACCCCTCTAACAAGAAATTTGTTTTGCATGCACACGTATGAAAATTGCGGTTTTTATCCAACGCAATCATAGGTTTGAACGTTGTTTTCAATTTAGACTTGTTTATATCTTTTCGTTTGGGCTTGTATTATATTTGCCTTCGGGTTTATATGATCCGTTCATCCTATTTTAACTCCTCAAACTTCAAGAGTCTATC